AGGTCGAGCCTTTCCCCCCCTTGACCACCGGCTCTCCATCATTCTATTCAATAATAATGGCGGGTGTTTTGCTACAGAAATGATTCAAGCTCACACTTAAAGGCGTTATAATCAAAATTGATTATGGTTTTAAGCAGGGAGAATATGAAGCATTTTTTGTTGGTATCATACATTAATGATGGTCATTTTGTCACACGTATGATAAAAGACAATATAAAGCTCCCACACTAAAGAGGCATAATCAAATTTAGATCATGATTTTGAGTAGCAATTGAACCTATAGAAATTGTTTATATTTAGTAGAATCTGAAACAAGTCCATGTTTAAGCCTCAATAACTAGTTATAAATGATAAAAGTCCAAGCAATAAGCGAGAGGATACATTAATGACGACTGATCCAACTCATTGTTGCTAATTAATTAGTCACCACCAAATTGCTTTTACTGATACCATGTTTTGTCCCAGGTTTTGATAAAGTAGCTTCCGTTTTCTTACATAAAAATTAACTATAGAGTTTAGAGTTTATATATATATATATATATAGATAGGATATCTTACACCGGTGTAAGAGTTAGAAGTCTTACATTCAATCTTCAACATTGATCCACTTGTATCCAATGACTCACATTACTAAAAAATTAGAGCCCTTAGATATAAATGGAATCAATGGACAAAATTAAGAGTATAACTTACCCTGGTGTAAAATGATCCTGACCCATATATATATAGTAAAATGTGTGTCATTTTAAAGAGCGTAAAATTGTGTTATTTTAAGTGAGAGAAAGAGATAAATCATGGAGAAAAGAGATTGGACAAAAAAATTTAAAGAAAATTTTAAATATATTAAAATACAAAAAACATAAAAAAAATTAACTTAATATAAAAAAAAGTAATCAAGTCAACTAAACTGTTACAATAGAATATTTTGGGTCCTCAACAAAAATTACGGGCATCAATTTAATCTTTTAAGAAAAAAAAAGTCTACTCTAATCCCTAAGAATTTAAAAATAGATCCAGATAATCAAAATTATGGTCCTCAGAAATTCAAAAAGATCCACGTTAATCTCTCAAAAGAACTAACATATGTCTATTTTGGAGTTTAAAGGGATCACGAGTCAATTTTTTTTTAAGAGATTAAATTAGGTCATGTAATTTTTGTTGATGAATATATTCTTTTTTTCCAAAAAAAATTTGTGTATGCACTTGCACACGCTTGCAAGTACACAGGTCTGCCATTGGGTGTGAGTCTCATTTTTTTGTGAGAGTGAAATGACATAAGTTGTGTCATTTAAAAGGATAAACATTTTTTCCATATATATATATATATATAATAACTTCTACAACTATTTTAAACTACCTTGGCAAGTAAAAACATATTTAAAATAGTAGAAATATAAAAATTAAATCAGTAACTTTTTTAAATCACAAAAAATTATTTAAAATTTTAGTATTACTTGATATGTTGCAGTAAAAAAGTTGAGATGATTATACAAAGATTTTTTTAACAAATTTTTATTGAAAAAATCACATCATTAAAATTTTCACCTATACTGGAAGTATTACTAAGTAATAAAAAATTTCAATGTAAATATTGTTTAATAATAAATATTTTCATTCCAAAACATAATAAGAAGTGAGGACTTCAATATTTTTTTATATAGAACCACCTCCTAAACGATAATTGGAAAAATAATTCACATTTTTTAATACATAAATAATTTAGATTTTACTTGCATAAGTATATATCTGTATGCAAATATTATTTTATCAAAAATATTTAATTAAGAAAATTAATATTTTAAGTAGAATTTTTTTAAGAGAGTGTTAAATATTTATACCACCAAAGATGTTGATCGATTGGTAAGGAATTGTTACAACTTAATTAATAATCTTGACTTTGAGTCATTGGGAACACAACTGTATTTAAACTTGGTAAGAAGAGTTTTACCGTTTCATGTAGAGCTGGCAAGGGCAGGGAGTGATCGCCGGTGCGAAAGGGTACGGACAATGAGCGGCTCATGCCAAATCTTGCAGCTTGGGGGATTATGAATGAATCGAATCAACACCCGAAATAGAGGGATTCCAGAGATTGTGCTGGTATGGGACGGTACAGTTAGGAATGACTTATAAGAATTAATTGGTACCACCTATACTAACAAGATGCATCTACTTTTCGGTAGCCAGGATCGGAAGAACTCCACAATTAAGCGTGCTTGACTTGGAGCAATTCTGGGATGTGTGACCTCCTGGGAAGTTTTCCTGGGAAGTGTGCGAGTGAGAATAAAGCATACTGAAAAGTCTCGTGTTAGTGTATGGGGACAGTCATTGATTCTTGCAAGTGGCCGGGCGTTACAAGAATGTGCATAGTTATCAGTATCATACGATACACGATACAATTTGTATGATACGATATGATTAACAAGCACAACAATACATATCGTGGGGTGTATCAAAAATGAGTTTGTATCGGACGATACAATATTATATCGTGTATCATATGATACAAAAATTAAATCAATTTTTTTAATTTGTAATATATAAAAAATTGATTTATGATTAAATTAAAAAATATAAAAAATTATTAATAATAAGGAAAAGAAAATAAATATTAATTTGTGATTTAAACTATAAAATTCATCTAAAAAATATGTATAATAAAGGAATTAATTAAATAAATATTTTTAATTTATTTTTATTATATTTTTCTTTTTAACAATTTGATATGATTATAAAAAATGAGCAAAATGCCATATGATGATTTAACAACCTAACGGTCAAATTCAACTCGAATAGGACAAATTGAATAATAAAAAAAACTTTTGATTTATACAGGCTTTATGACCCTAATTCACATGAACTAGGGTTTAGTGGAAATGTGATGACCCATTTTGACAATTACAATAATGAGTTTATTTTGCCATTTTGGTATGGTGTTGCAATTTTGAATTTTGGAGAAGGAGTGCTATTATTCGCGAATCGAATGTGGTGACTGGTGACATTATTATTCCATGCCGGTTGCATTGCAAATTTCGTTTGTGGGTTGAGATTTTGCTACTGTATAAGGAAAATCGAATACGTAATGGCTGGTATTGTAGAAAAATCAAATACCCCAGTTAGGGGTCCTCTTTGCCGGGCCAGATTGGGTCTCGTCAATTTTTATAACACTGTTCAATATAAATAACAAAATTACTTGAAAATGTACTCATCACTTAAACCTACTTATGTCATTAATTAACTTGAATATCAGAATACATAGCAGTGTGAGAATGCCTTGTAGGTATTCACTTCCGCATGTTTCGTATGAATCCTTGAAAAAACATAACACCGAACTTGTAAAGGAGATCAGACAACCATCATCCTCTTGGACCAAAATACTTAAGAATATCTTCATCAAATATACGTGACCCGTCTAAATTTCTTGAGCTAATCGATTTCTGTTTTGGAAGTTGAGTTTAAGTGAATTGTTTTTGGTTTAGTTATGAAATATAAAAAAGTGAATAGAAACATTAGAAAAATGTATTAAGTTTTTACATCTGAAAATCTAATTCATAACTAAACAAACATTTAAAACTAGTATTTTAAAAATAATCGTAGTTAGCCACATAAAATCTAAGTCTCATTTAAAACTTTGGCTTATTTTTTTGACCATTTCTATTTTGGTAAGACATCATGCATCTCATCACTGTCACTGCTACATGTATTGTTGTATATGAACATATCTTATTGTTGATTGAGCGCATCCAGAGCTGCTAATAATTATTCTGGATAGTATTGAGCGTAGAGAATTTTTCTTTTTTTTTTGATGGTTTCTCTTTGGTAGGACAATCTGTATCTCATCACTTTTGTTGTTGTATGCCTTGCTTTATATTAAAATAATCAATTATAGAGTACATAACTATTTTTTATTTGCATAATAATTGATGTTTCTTAATTGCAAAGTTTTTTTTTGTCGTAGATATATTATTTACAAAGTTCTATGTAAGTGTTGTAGCTTTTTTACCTCCCTAGATAACGATTAAGCGATGACAAACGCTGACAAAATTTTTGATCTTCTTTCTCCGTGCATCGCACGAGTACTGCACTAGTTGTTAATAAAAAGGAAAATATTATATTTATAAAAATTTTGTTTAAAAATTATTACAAACTAAATTATATATTTTGAAGAGTACATATATAATTTAGTTCGTAAATAAAAAATTTATAAATATAATCATATTCAACAAAAAAAAAAAATGAAGAAAGTAAAATGATTTGAAGATAGTACGGATAAGTCTAAATTAAATTTTTAAATAAATTTAAACAACGAAAATAAAGGTTGAGTGTATTCATTAAGACGTTAATATACAAAAGTAAAGTAGACATATTGGGTACACCAGAATCTTTATAAACGAAGATGAATGCTTTCCTTTTGGTGAGACCGCAATTCTGACAAGGCACAGGCTAGTGTTTCTTACGAAGCGAGTGAGATAATAGATGAAATAAAACATACAAGGAAGAAAGATAGATATTTAGAGGATCAAAAATATCTGGCTAAGTCGTCCACGTTGGCACCACCCCAACACCCTTATGGAATAAGATATTGCACTTTTTTCTCCTTTTTCACAATTTCCTCCAAATTATATTATTATTATTCAGGTTTGAGACCAAAAACTTGCCACTATCAATAATTTCATTCATTTTCCTTATTATCTTTCGCTTCCTTCATCACTTTCCTGTTCGCCCAAACACACCCACCGCCAAATCTTCACCAAATATCAACACAACAGGTCGTGTTTCGTTTTCGTGATTCCATCAAACTCTGCATCTTTCATCTTCGTCTATCCAATTCCATCTTTCATCTTCATCTCATTCAATTATTCATTCATTCATTCCTTCCTCTTTCGACTTTTTTGGATCCAAATCCAATACCCAAACCGTTTCAGATATCTCTAACAAACTAATGACAGTTTGGGGGGTCTGAGGAGGAGAGAGAAAAAGAAAGGCACAGTTATTCTGTTTTAAACGGTTACAACTGAATGGGGGAAGAGGTTAAGATGAGTGACTACGATGAAGAACGGGTCATGGAGTGGGAGATGGGCCTCCCCACGGCCCATGATCTCACCCCTCTTTCTCAGCTCTTGATCCCGCCGGAGCTCGCTTCCGCCTTCAGCATCTCGCCGGAGCCCCACCGCACACTCCTCGATGTTAACCGCGCCTCTCGCAACACCCTCTCCACTCTTCGCGGCGGCCACCAGGCCTTCTCCTCCAACAACAACCACCTCGACGACGACGATGAGGAGGAGGAAGAAGACACCGATCGTGACGGGTCGGGCTCCGATCCCAGGAAACACCGGAAGATCGATTGCGCGGCGGAGGAAGCGGATTCGGCCCTGCGGACGGAGAACTCCGGCGACCGGACTGCCGTGAAGAGGCCTCGGCTGGTGTGGACCCCGCAACTGCACAAACGGTTCGTGGACGTGGTGGCGCACCTCGGGATCAAGAACGCGGTTCCGAAAACGATTATGCAGCTGATGAACGTCGAAGGGTTGACCCGCGAAAATGTGGCTAGCCACCTTCAGAAGTATCGTCTTTACTTGAAGAGGATGCAAGGTCTCTCCAACGATGGTCCTTCTTCCTCGGATCAGCTTTTTGCATCAACCCCTGTTCCACAGAGCTTGCATGAGTCTGGTGCTGCTGTAAGTGCCCATTCTCATGGAAATAATGGGCACCTTCCACTTCCAATTCCAATGCCTTATCCCCCTCCTATGATGTCAATGCCTGTCATTGGGATGCCACATGGCCATGGTCATCGCCATGGCCATGGCCACATGGGGATCCCAATGGGCACTTCTTCTGCCACTTCCCCTTATCATTCCTTCGACTCTCATCCATATAACAACATGTTGCAGCAAAGGGATTGGACTCACCTTGCTCCTAATGATAAATAAACTCCCACGTTTCTTCTCACTAAAGGTGAGCCACCATTATATTTTCATATGGGAACTCTCAAAAAATATTTTTTTTAAATAAACATAATTATGTATATGTGATTGATTTAGTGATTGAGGTTGTGGCTTCTTCAAACAGATTACTGTTTGAGTAACTTACTCACTCACTTACTCCTGCATTATACTGAAAATCTGATTATGGTAGACTCTGTTATTTGTTTATTATGTCTTGCAATGGAACAAATTTAATGTTCTGTTTTCTATTTCTTTGTTAATATGGCTTGCTAATTATGTCATAAGTAGGATGTGCAATAAGCATGTTTCTTTGTTCTGTCGTTGAGTACAATATGCTGAGGTGCTGAATGATTATGAGATCAACTCAAAGCAAATTATTGGTGGGTCACTTTGATGCTGTCATTCACTATTTCATCTTTTTCCCCACCTACCTTCAACAAGTTATCCATCTCTCTTAAACGAGGTGAAATGATGCACTAGCTTTATGTTGTCATCCTTAGATGGTAAAGGTGAATATCGCCGTCATTGAATAGATGTGCATATTCAGTTGCTTTTATATATGTATCTTCTGATCCAAAATGTGTTTTGGTCTTTTTTTAAAATGATTTTTGACGGTAATCTTTGCTGTCTAATGCAGAAAACATCTCTCATTAGACCTTCTTGTGATACTTTCGTTTTCTGTTAGGAGGGTAGATATGTATATGTGCATTTGAATTTCCGTCATCATTGCCATGATTCTTCAACATTGTCAGTTGTTAAGGCTAATTGATTGTATTTTTAATGCCCTCATATTTCCTATTTTAAGGCAGCAGAAAAATAATGTATTTTGTGTGTGATGCCTCTTTTGTAGACTCAAACGTTTAGCTATTGGTCGTGACTTTAGAAAGTCTGGGAAGTAGCTGCATTGATCTCCCTGAACTTCTCACAAACGGATTCTTGAGGAAGTATATGAAGACTTTATGGAGCTAAATTACAGTTTGAATCAGTAATAGGTACCATGTGGGCAGATTTACAAACTTCTTGGCACTTTTCTCTAATTCCTGTCACCTAATTGTAGGAGGAGAATTCTGGCATGTTTCTTCTGGTCAACCTAGACAGCTGATTCTAAAGTAAACTCTAAACTAGTTCTTGATTCATAAATCATAAGTGCTATTACATTGTGTAATCCTGAACATTTACCCTCTTTTTCAGAACCATTGCAAAATTGAATAAAAGAGAGACTGAACAACAGTCAGCAAACATTTTGTGCCCTGCCCTGGCATTAAATGTATTCCTATATCTTAAAGCTCTTCGTTTATTATTTTATTTGAAATAGATGTTTCATTTTCTTAAATTGGGGTGCTGTTGGTTCTCAGGTTAGGTTAGAAATGTTACTGAGGGAGTGGAACGGGGATTTGTATTTTGTATATATAGAGGTTTAATTGACCAAGTTGAATCACGAACACATACACAACACCAACCTTGATATTTCTAGGTTTACCTATAACACTTATTCATTGGTCTCTGTTTTTCTGAAAGAGATTAAACTAGACTTGCGGTCTTTTTTTTCTTTTCTTTTTTTCTTGGTGGTCTTGGACAGATATCAACCATTCCAAGGTTTACTTGGTTTAGAGAGTATGCACTCTAACGAGTAGAGGCACAAATATATTTTGATCGAGCTAAATAGGAGCTTGATGAAGATCGATCTACAGAGTTTGTAAAATTTACTTTGTTTTTCTTCTTGGGCAACGTATTACTATTTAATTACACTCTTATTGAACCCGTTCCTCTTGTGGATAAGGCTTTTGTTTAAGTTTGCACAATCCTTAATAATGCCTTGCTAATTGAATTTCTTAAACGGATATAATAAAAGTTGCTAAAAGATTCAAAGCACAAGGATAGCTGGTTGGAGGTCAATTAAAGGAAACTTGAATGGACTAAAAAGAAAAGCATCTAATGCCAGCATTCTCCTTTAAATAAATAAAAGAATAATGGGGTTTGTGGAATCGATCGCAAAGGCGCAATTGCCCTTAATGGATAAGTTTCTTGGAGAAAAATATAAAGTTTTAGGCTCTCCGAGATATTTCGTATATATAATAAGGGTTTGCAAATTCTTATGTTGCATGAAAAGGAATAAATCTTTGGTACTACTATTATATCAAAGATTCAGTACATCTCACTAATAAAAATATTATATGTCAATCAAAATTCTTCCTTCTCTGTCAAATTCTTTCTTTCTCCTTTAACGTATAATGCTTCAATTGGTGGATGCATTGAATTAGGTGCGACACATGCATTTAAGATTTATTCAACGAGAAGATAAAGTTTTTGTACCAAGAGAGAAAGAGTGGGGCCCACTTCGAAAAAAAATAAAAAAATAGAAAAATTATTGGTGCAACAAGTGAGAGTGATAAGATAAAAGACTTTTCATGCGATATGAGAAATGTTTTTTCCATATAATAAATGGACACAAGTCTTTTTCGCCAGAAATGGTAGAAGCTTTGGTGAAGAATGAAGCAAATTATTCGTTTTATGTATAAGAACATAACTTTTCTCGCGCTGCTTCCCTTTGTTGCTAGTATTTGGTATGCAAATGAAGAATTAGCACCATGTGCTGCCTCAGCAACCTTTGCGGTTTTTGTCTAAAACTCTAAATTAGAATACATAATTAAGATTTGGTTCCCGAGAGATGCAGGCACATATGATAAATAAAGATATTCTTTAGGTCCAATGGTGCCTCCCAAAAGGGTACTGAACTGTTGCCTGATGAGGAGAAGGAAACAATACATCCAAAATTGTTTCTAGAGGTTTGCCACCATCTTCGTTTTGAAGATGCAAAACCCGTGGCTTCTAGCTACCGACAGAAATGTAGCAAATTGCAAAGGAACCTCCAGCTCGAAAGAATCATTTACTTACCTATAATATTATACATTATCTATCCAACTCAATCCTTGTAATTTTCTGAGTTTTCCCTTCTTCATCATTTTCTTGATCCTCTCAACCTTTCCCCATTTTCCAGCATCGGCATATAGGCTGGACAATAGAAGACGGTTCCCAGCACTCTCGGGCTCTAATTCCAACAAATGCTTAGCAGCCACTTCTGCAAGCTCCACATGCCCATGATTTCTACAAGCAGCAAGTAATGCACCCCACACAAATAAATCAGGTTCAACAGGCATTGTCTTGATCATGCAATATGCTTCGTCGAGATTCCCTGCTCGACCAAGAAGATCCACCATGCATGCATAATGCTCCAGTCTTGGCTGAATATTGTATTTTTCTTGCATAGTCTTGAATAGCCTATGCCCAAGTTCAATATCTCCAGCATGGCTACATGCGGTGAGAGCTGCCGTGAAAGTTAAATGATCCAGCTTGGCTCCCCCTTCCATCTCCATCTGATTGAAGAGCTCTATAGCTTCCTCGCAATAACCATGATTCGCATGACCAAAAATGATAGAGTTCCATGTAACTGTGTTCTTGTCTGGCATCTTACAAAACAGAGTCCTCGCTTCAGCAATGAACCCACATTTTGCATACATATCAACCAGAGCACTCCTTACATATACATCTTCCTCCACCCCAATCACCAGCGCGTAGCCATGAATCTCCTTCCCAATCCTCACTCTTGCTGCAGTAGCACAAGCAGGAATAAGGGCGCTGATAGTAGCTGAAGTTGGACAAAACCCATGACGCAACATTTGCTTAAACGTATCAAATGCTTCATCCTTACGAAAGTTCTGCACAAAACCAGATATAACAGAAGTCCATGATATCACATCAGGCTCAACACCATCTGCAATCATCAACCTAAAAATCTCAGATGCCATTGCTTGTTCACCTTTTTGTGAAAACCCATATATCAAAGTGTTCCAAGTTACTACATTTGGATTGACACCCATCAACTTCATAATTTCCACCAAATCCAGTGCCTTATTTACAAGGCCATGTTGAACATACCCAGAAACAACAGCATTTAGAGCCACTAAATCTTTCACAGTCATTCCATCAAACACCTTACGTGCATCTTCGACTCTCGCGCACTTAGAGTACATAACAATCAAAGCACTAGACACAAAAGCATCTAGGTGGAAGGAACACTTCAAAATTAAGCCATGTATTTTCTCTCCCATGATCCGGTCACCGATGTGGCCACAAGCTTTGAGAACGCTTGGAATCACAAATACGTTGTCGGACTTCAGCTCTTGGGTTGTTTGCATCTCAGAGAACACGGCCAGAGCGTGCTCATAGAAGCCGCAGCGAGCACAAGTGCCAATAAGTGCTATCCAGCGGCGAACATTTGTTCTGGGAATTTTGTCGAACAGTTTTCGCGCAAGGGATAGTTGACCACAGCGCGCGTACAAGGCCACGAGATTGGATGCAATGACGTTGAAACGAGCCAAGCCGCTGGTGATTAGGTGCGCGTGAAGTTTCTTGCCATGTTGCAACGCTCGATCGCGAGCGTATATCTCGACGAGTTCAGCATAGCCTTCGAGTCCTGACCGGAACAACCGATGGCAGATGATGGCATTTGTCGCGGGAATCTTAACAAATGTAGTGCTTCTGATGAGACCATGCATAACAGTAAGTAACTGAACTGCAAGAAACCAGTACCAAGTTAGTATGGCATAAATAAAACGAGCAAGCTAATATGATAACCTATGCTGAGATGGGACACGACACTTAATAGAAGTTATATTTCGAGAGTTAAAACATGTTTTACGTTTTGATATTAAATAATATTTTAATATATATAATATAATTTATATTTAATATATATAACCGTCCGTATTTTATTAATTTTTTATATCAAATTTTATAATAGAAAAAAATTAATTTATAAATTATTTTTTTATGTTTAGTTAATAAAATAAAATTAAGACCTAAAAAAACGTGTTAGATGTGTGTTAAAGCATTGATTGCATGTCGAAAAAAGTTGACTGCGTATCGGAAAAATATGTCGGAATGTATCGGAGAATTGACTACATGTTCCAAATTGTTGATAGCATATCGGAACGTGTCGGTGTTCGACAAATATTTTTTACAAAAATTTGTGTGTCCGTGCTTTGATAACTAAGTTTTGTTCTTACAATGTCTTCAACAATGACACTCCGTAATGTTCAAAATTTTAAACTGCACTGATTAAATCGTTTTTTAGTAGAATGAAAATATTCAACATAGATAATAAGTTTATGGGATTTGTATTTGTCATTTAACATGACACAACAATTTTTCCTACACACATAATATTTTGTGAGACCCACATTTTTTGAAGAAAAAAAAAATTATGGCACGCAAAACGAATCTTTATAACATTACACAATCACTTTTCCTACAACATAACTCTTATAAAACCTTAAGTTTATTACATCAAATGATATAAAAATGAGGATTAATTATTAAGGGATTATTTCAACTTAATTTTAAAAAGGAGAGTTTTGCTGCTATATATAGTCCAGCTCGATCGAATTGGTCATTAATCGATGAATAGTTACATGCAATAACGTAGTCAGTATACATTATTAAATTAAGTTTAACAATTTGGTTGTAATGCTTCGGGATGTTATAAGAATTTATATCAGTCACTACATTTTTTTTTATCCGCAACCGTGTACGATACCTAACTTGTAAGTATTACACTTGTAGGTTTGCATGAAAAAAATCAAAGTATATAAGGAATTTTTAGGTTTGCATTCGTTCTCATGGATTGTACATTGATCATAAGCCGCAGAAAATAAGAGGACATCAAGGATTCAAGATATCTGCCATGTTAGTATTGTCATAGAATCCGACACCAAGTTTGACAGTAACCTAGAGAAAAACCAAATGTGGTACCAAATCAAGCTATCAAAATGAGTTAACCTGTCCCATTAGATGATGGCCTGTGTGAGTTAGGATCAAAAAACTCGCAGAACCAAATGAACTTTAATAATAAAGGTCAGCATCAGCCAAAAAGTCCTATGGGCTAGGGTTAATCCACAGGCCATTCAAAATTATAATTTCATAATTTTTTTTATCATATTCGATACAATAAAAAATATTTTAACAAATAAATATTTAACACTTTCTTAACAGATTTTATACAAATTATAAATTTTTGTAATTTAATTTTTTTAATAAAGAAATAGTTGTACACAAATATAAAAGTGAAAATGTAAACAAAATTTTAATATAAGTAAAAATTTAGTTACTACCTTTACTAAATTCATTATTAAAGGATACCATCAAATAAAGATTTTCTTACCATGAGTCATAACAGAATACACTAGTGAAAAACTAAAAGTAATGATGAAAAAATAATCTTAATACCAGTATTGAATAATTGCTCTTAGTATGCTATATATTTGAAAAAAGTAAAGTCATTGATTTTCTTCAACTACAAAAAAAACTTTTTAGTTATTAGTATCCACAAAATTACAAAGGTGCATTGTATACAATATGTTTTAATACAAATTTGGATATATAACTTGGTTAGATGTGAATAGAAAATTTTATTTTTTGAGACTCTTAATGACATATTTGCTGCGTCTAGCAACTCTAATAGATAGAATGGAGGTTTTGCTAAAAGTCTTGTTAAATCTAAGGATAAACCCAAAGATGGTAACAAGAACAAAATAGCTTGGTTAGCAGTTACCAAACAAGTTGTTATGAAGAAGCCGCAAGATAAGTGCTTCAAGTGCATACTGAAGGGACAGTGAAAAGAAAAATTGTCTAGAGGTGATAAAAAGAACTAGACATAGGTAAGTTAAGGCTTGATTAGTGGATGAATCAATAATTTAGGAATCACTTATTATGTTTGCTACTTTTTTAGTAGTTCAAACATGGCATGCCTATCAGCGGTGGACAAAGAAATTTTAAGCTTGAAAATGGAGAACTTGTTTCTGCATTAACAGTAGGACGAGTTATTTAAAGGACTTTGGTTTTAGGTGACTACTTATTTGTTCCGAATTTTAAGAGGAATTCAATTATTGTTAGTTGTTTTGGTTAAAACATGGTTTGACAATGTAATTGATTCCTCATTTACATTTTGAAGTTCATCTTCGTCTTGTTTGTTCTGGTATATTGTTTAAATAGTCTTTATTACCTATGTCCTAAATACCATTGAATTTATTATGTTGAATTGAAAGGATGACGAACAAGAACATTCACCAAAGAAATAAAAGTTTCAAATGAAGCATATCTTTGACCTTTATGATTGAGTCAGATTACCTCAAATAGGAAACATGATCTAGTTAAAAGAGGGACTGGAAATTCCATAATCTTTTAAATAAAAGCTACATGTAAGTCCTATTTGGAAGGTAAAATGGTCAAGAAATCTTACAAGGTTAAAGGGATTTGCACAACTATTCAACTAGAATTAGTACATAGTGACGTATGTGGACTAATTAACGTTCAAGCCATAAAATATTATGAGTACTTCATTATGTGAATGGTTACTTTGGATTTGGATAGATAAACCTAGTGCGCCATAAGTTTAAAGCTTTTGAAAAATTCCAAGAGTTTTAAGTCTGAGACAGAAAAGTATCTAAGTATTCAAATCAAAGCACTTTGGTCTAACTGAAGTGTTGGATACCTGTGTGGTAAGTTTAGGTCTTACTTGATTTAAGAGGGGATAGTTTTCATAACTATCAAGTCTAGGAACACATTAGTTGAACGAAACTGCAGTATTCAGAAATTAAACATTTCTAGACTTGGTGAAGTCCATGTTTAGTTATTCATCTTTACAATAGCATTTTGGGGAGATGTCTAGGAGAAGGCAATGTACCTTCTTAACTTGGTTTCGTCAAAGTTTGTTGTAAAGACACTTAAACAATTATGGAAATGGTGCAAGTCCAAATCAAACCATATTCAGATTTAGGGTGCTCCGACACACGTCCTACAACAACGGTCAAATAAGATGGAATCTTGTAAGAAAGAGTGTATATCTTTTGGCTACCCTAAGAGAACCGGGGATGAGATCTTATTTAGTCCAAAGGACAAGATGATCTAAGTGAGCACTCATGTGATTTTCTTAAAGGAGGACTAGATGAGAAATTATAAGCTCTTAAGTAAGGTTATTCTTGATGAGACTTAGATCAATAATTTTCAAAATCTCTAGAAGCTCCATCCTTTGTTCCCTTAATTGTTCAAAGAGGGAAAAAATATACCTCTAAGTGAACAAACAGGGGAACCATAATTGGAAATTCAACATGATAATTTATAAATGAAACCAGTAGAAATATTAGTATCATATATGGAAGAATAATTTCACGGAGTTGTTAAACACATAATATGTGGATCTTCAAGAAATTGATGATTCACCATTTGACCCAATCGGATCTACCTATAGATACACAATGTCTAGTGCGGTACATTTATAGTGGAAGAGAACCTTATTAACTCTCAAGTTTCTGTTGTTGAGTGACATTGATTTCACTAGCTATGATAATGCACTAGAAGATGGTGTTGATCAAGTGTGCTCAAGCTATGAACCATAAGATGTAATACTTGTATTTCAACTCCGTTTGGTACCTAGTAAAGGCATCAAGAGGGGTAAGACCCACTAGGTACATGTGGACCTAAAAGCAAAAAGAGGATGGACAGGGTGAAAACCTTCAAAGCTAGTTTGGAGGCAAATTTTGTTAGATGTCATGCTTGAGTCTATCCAGATTCTCTTAGTTGTTGCTATAAATCTCAATTATGAGATTTTATTTTGGGAGTTGGATGTTAAGATATCTACATGCAACAACCAAAAAGGGTTTATAGCAAATGGGTAAGAACACATGGTATGCAAATTGTGAAAGTCTATTTCATGGACATAAGCAAGCATCCAGGTCTTGGAATATCAGTTTTGATCAGGTTATCAAAATTTTGATTTTGAGAAAACCTTGATGAATGGTAAGTATTTGTATGTAAAGGATCCAAGGGAAGACAGTAGCTGTTCTGGTACTTTACGTAGATTATATGCTCCTTATTGGAAACAACATGGAGGTAATATCAAGCATAAAAAGTTAGTTAAGTAAGCGTTTTGGTATGAAAGTACTAAGGAAGCCAATTATATTCTTGGTATAAAACTCTTATGAGACCAGAAGAATAAGTTGTTGGCATCACCTTAGGCTACTTACATTGACAAAACTCTTGCAAAAAAGTTTACATGGTAATTCCAAGAGGGGAACTATTTCTCTCAGACGTGGAATTCATCTTCCTAAGGAGTAACCTCTAAAGACAACTGAGAAGCAAGAATGCATGAGTAGAATACCTTATGCTTTGGCAATAGGTAATCTCATGCATACCATGTTGGGCGTTAAACTAGACATCTGCCATACATTGGAAGTAGTGAAACGGTACCATTCTAGACCTAGAGGAACACTAGATTATTGTTAAGCATGTACTCAAGTATCTTTGGAGAACAAGAGGTTATATGTTGGTATATTCTAGTGGGAGTCTTGAAAAGCTAAGTTTTCACAGATTCGATTTTTCAAGTGGATATTGACTCAAGAAAATTAACCTCGAGCTAAGAGTTTTTCATTAAACTAAGATAACATTAGAGGTGGATCTTGAAAATCCAGTTACTAAGAGTTTGCCTGAACTTGTGTTCGAGAGGCATGTTACTTCTTTGGATCGTAGGAGGATCCCAGACTTGCATTAAGCGAGTGGGAGATATTTGGTTCATTGTTCTCTTGGATTAAGACAAGGAAATATTGTAATCATTTTATGAATTTTATAAATGGGGTATTATTCATTTATTTTGTGCACTATTTACAAACATCAAGGTCCGAATCAATTGTGTAGTTATTTAGGCTGCAACATTTTATGAAACGGTTTTGTCCGAATCATTGTAAAATATTAGTTTGTATTAACATTCACATTGAAAGGATCAATGAGAGATTTGATTAAGCTTGTTTTTCTGTCATAAGGTATCAAATCTCCAGATAACTATAGTTATGCAATTTCTCTTAATTCTGAGTTTATCATAAATAGGTAATTGAATAATTCTCATTCTTTGATTTACCAACGAGTGAGGTTCGATCTTTTGATGGCCAATGACTCGATATTTTGGTAGTGAGATTATTTGATTATCGGTATTTATGAGATAAACAACATGGAATTTGTAGGATATATTCCCTTGATATGTTTCGATACTTGGATATTGAAGACACTGGTCAGTGCATGTAATCCATTAGAGTCAATGGAATAAATAACTGATTGAGTAATAGAAAACTAGTCAATCAATTATAGACATTCTACAAAGGGGCGATGCATATTCACGTTATAAGTGTTATTAATCTTGGAGTTAAAGTTCGGGCTTTTAGTGGAGTAGCACTGAATTAGATAATCATTCGTTGATTATCAGAAGCCTTGATTAATAACAGATGATAGATCCCCAGGCTAGCTTGAGACAATGGATGAGGTATTTTTCAGTTAATAATGACTTATGGGTTACATGGTCTTGGATTTTGGACTCAAGTTTGTACCCGAAAGAGCAAGTGGGAGATTGTTGGGTTTGTGCTCTTTTACTAAAGCCCAAATGAGCTAAGAGTATGAGAAGAGCCCAAGAAACCTAAAGCCTAATGATCTTAAGTCTAAGGTTTTTTGGAACCCTTATGAATACCACCACTTAAGTAATCAACCTCATAGGTCATTGAACATAAGAGGTAAGCTCAGATCTGAAAAGGTGCCCACACACTTCCCCTTCTCCCTCGAGAGATAGCTTGGAAGGTTTACCATAGAGCAGAGAGATCTGTTTGAGCTAGAGAAATCTGTTCGTGTTATGATGCATAAGAGAACAGTATGTGAGTTCATGATGTGACACAGAGGATATCAGTTCATGAAGGGAAATCATACACAAGGTGATTCTATGAAAATCTGCGCGTCAAGAGGTAAATGTGAGACCGGGATGATTTGATAAGCATACCAATGTACTAGGTCTTAAATCGTTTCCGCATAAATTCAATAGTTCCTACACATCATATTTGTCGTTACATCGCATAGACGTACACCTTACTGATTGAATACAATTACACTTGTTATTTATTATCTGTTAAGTTAGTTATGAAGTTAATTTTTGGTTTGTAATGGATTCATTGGTAGTTTTTCGTTTCTTCTGGATGTTTCCTATCATTCATTAGGTTTTGGGATTCATGTTTCTCATGTTATAGAAGATAATTTTACCTCTTACACATACATAAAAGTGTGTGAGGCCATGTTTTATTTTTTTTTCTCTTCTCTTCACATGACTCCACATGGGCCCCACACACTTTTATGTGTGTAAGGGATAAATTTATCTCCTACAACATGAGAAACATTAAACCCTTAGTTTTTTTATCGAAAAATAACTTGAATAAAAAGAAAGGGCATATATTCATTCTGCTTAACTTATAGCAGTATATATATATGGGAAAAATATTTCTCAAGCTGCTTGAGATAAGTTTAACTCCGGCCACCTCAAAATTACGCCGTTTTGTTTATTTATTTTCTTATATTAATTGATTCACCTTTGAATGGTTATGATTCCCTTTTTGTCTCTCTTCCTTTATTACCATTGTTTCATCTTTGTACGGTTATGATTTAGTAGCCGGAGATAACAATGTCTCAAGCAGCTTGAGAAACGATAAGTCCTATATATATATATATAAATTGTTAAAGTGGCTGCTCCTAAAGATTAGTATGGTTCATTAGGTATTCCCAGAAGTACATAGTTATAATAAATATTTTCACTATGTATTTTCGAAAGTACACCAGATGTACTCCCGAAAGTACACCAGAGTACACCGTTCTTCTCTGGTGTACTTCTGGGAGTACATAGTTGACCGCACCAATACGTAGGTGCAGTCGTACATCTACTAAACCCCATATATATATATATATATATATATATATATTACTTTGCGGCATATTTTAATCCACATGGATCTTTATTAATTTTACGTCAAAAATATTTATTTTCCTCACCGGATTTGAAATATTTAAGTCGTATATATTCTACCGGTGAGTTTCTCGATCTTGTTTCTTTAGAATTGTAAAAGTTCAACAATTTTTCTGATCATTGCCTGGTCTAATTGCTAATTGAGGGGAGTACTTATTCGTGAGGTTTAGTAGGAAGCAAAATTGTTTAGTCTACACGTGTAGAAAAGGAGTCCATAAATGGAACCCAACGGTGTGGGTTGGGCCACTATTATTATTATTGCGTAGCGCAAGAATGCAGGAAGCAATTACACGAGCACGGTTCAATTTTTGGGTTAAATTTCTACCACTTATTGTCCACAGAAAGAACAAATATAACAGCAGAGTTATTCAAAGATTGAGACAAAATTGCTATCCAGGAAATCATTCAAGAAAAATGGCTCAACTCGAACGCCCACAGAGAAATGTTGATACTTCAAAAACTCCTACCATCCATACCATGGAACAACTCCTCCGAGGTAATCTTTTCTCACCCTATAAAGCTCAAATGTTTTTTTATGCTACTAGTTACTAAGAAAAAGGGTACAAATAATGTTTTAACCATGCATGATATAACTGTCTACCGTACGTAAGTAATTAACGAAAGGTGCTGAAGTTTTATATTAGGGTTATATTTATCTTATGTTGCATAAGATAAATAAATTTCTTACTCACACAAAACGGAGGTGGATCTCACATTTATTTTTTCTCTCTCCTCTTACATGTGGGTCCCACTGATAACTTTATTTCTATACTCCTCCAAGATAAGATAAATATAACCTTTTATATTATTATGGTTTGAATGTTTAAGCCATGGAAAAACCATAGGCTTGATTTTTGGTTCATGTTTTATGTACAGCAGGAGAATCCTCAAAGTCTAGTAAGCTGTCGCCAACCTTGTCTTCTTCCTCCTCGAGTTCTTCCCAATCCTCTCCTTTCTTCCAGAGGTTGAGGCACCATGACTTGGAAGAAGACCATGGCCAGAATCAGAAGAAATCAGTTCTCAGTAAAGTGAAGGAGAAGGCCAAGAAATTACGCCACAGCCTCAGCAAGAAAAAACACGAGGACGGAAATGTCACTAGTCCTACAGGGGCTGCTGGCCTTGAAGGCGATGGAGTAGAAGAAGATGCTGAATTCCATGGAGCTCCGAGTAATTAACATCATTAAATGCCTTAAGATTTGTCTTTTTCTTCTTCTTCTTTTCATTTTATATATACACGGAATTAAGAGTAAATACTTTTTTGATTTTCAAGAAAAAATACAGGTTTAATTAAGTCGACTTATGATTCTTCTTAAATTTCAGTTATTTGAAATTGTGATTACTCTCAAATTCAGATAAGAGCTTTTTTAGTCCCTCATAAAGGACTAATATGATAATTTTTATTTTTTGTAAGGAATTAAAATGGGTTCCGTGTTTTTTGTTGAAGAATTTACTCTAGAATTAATGTGTCAAATTAATATTTCAGTGTACGAATCAGAGAAGACACCTGAAGGATACAAAGAAAATGCAAGTCCAGTAACCCCTGAGAAGCATGTTAAACCAAGAGTGGAACAAGCTCGAGAGAAGTCATTAAGTCGTTCACTGTCCAAGAGAACAACCCAAGCTGCAACAGCAACAAGTCCAACTGCTACTACTGCTACATCATCTACAACTCTTTCTAGTCCAACCAAGACAATGGCCAAAACCATAGCCGATAAAGTGACACCAGCTTCTGCTGAAGGATTAGATGCAGCACATTCTATAACCTCAAAACTTCAAGGCCTCACTGTTTCCAAACCAACAGAGCATCATAACGCTTCATCATCAACAGCTGCAACAAAAACACTTAACACTTCTTTGTCCTTTGCTACTCCACTTACTCCTCCTGCCAAGTTGCCCTCTCAAACTACTTCAAACCCAAACCTTCTGCGAATTTCATCAGCTCCGGTGACTCCATCGCCTTCATCTGCTCAACCGAGTGGGAAGAATACCAGCCCCACATCCCAAATATGGGACAAGGGTGTTTCGATGAAGGAGTACTTGATGAACAAACTTGAACCCGGTGAAGATGAGAAAGCTTTGTCTCAAGTGATATCTGAAGCAATGAGTCCTAGAAGAACTCCTGGTGATGCAGGGGTGATGGAGAAGGTGAGAGAAGCTGTAACTTCTTTGCTCCGAAATGAGGAACCAACAAAATATGCAGATGCAGCTCACACTACTCGCATGTCATCTCAAACCCCAGCATCTAATACCAACGTTACTCGCGCTTCATCTCAAATCCCAGTATCTTCCAACGCTCAAGAAGGTAAAGCACCAGTTCATGCAATCGTAGTATGATATCTATCTGATCCTATCATCTGACTCTTTTTCACACAAATTATGTTGTCTCTACGAAAACTTATGTTTGATCTGATCTTTCTAAATATGCAGTGGTTCAGGAAGAAAACCATGGCAGAATTCTTCACGCAAATTGAAAGTCCCCGTAATATGTGTTTTCTACATGTTTGTGTATGTATTGAGTTTTTGTTCAACCTTTGTGTGTATGTAGATAATTAGGCACGAAACATGATTTCCATTATATTTGTAAAACTTAATTTGTATGTAATAAACTGTGTTCCGGGTGTAACGGCCTGAAGGATACATTGTATATTTGTATTACATTACACTTTACATATTCTTCAGTGCTTTTTTTTTTTCACTGCCACAGAATTTTCTTTTATTACGAGCATAAATAAAGCAATTAACCTTTTTTCCAAACTCACCATTAATTAGTAGTTAACGAGGATTTTATGATACAAAATGCTCACACCAACTCAATTGCCACACTTGATTAGTTGCTTTAGCTTATGAATTTAGTGAGGACCTCTGGCGAGTTGAAGATTCCAGACAAGTGTAGGGGCTAAGTAACAATGCATTTTGGGATTGTATACCTTTTGTATTGCCATACTAACGGAAACCATTATAAACTACAGACTTAGCACATTAGCAATGTTCATAATAAGTCTAGAAAATATTGGTGCCCAATTATAGGTCCTCACATTCGTATGTCAATCCTCTTGGTTAATGGCAATTGAATCATGAAGTCAGAACCATTATGTGATTTGAGTATCTTGTTAGAGATTAAAAATCTAATCAACTTGTTGCAAACATTACAATGACCATCAAATCTACACAGAAGATATACACAAAGGTGGCAGACTCACCAAGATATATTGCATTCACATCAAAAGATGCTAGTTTAAGCTGTCACTTTAAGATTTTGGATTCTATATCTTCTAGGCTCAAACCTTTTGTCTCCGGGACAGAAGATATAATGAACAGAAGTGACACTAAAGCAATAGCCCCAAAGAGGAGAAAAAGGTTCTCTGCTCCCAGAAGCTCCTGTTTATCACAGATTAATAAACTTCAAGAGCAGTCAGACAAAGTTAAAAATGCTGAAGTTATCTTAAATAAAATAAATAAATACAAAAGTAAAGAATCTAAAACCTTTAATGGCGAGAATGCAAAGGTGACAACAGCGTTTGAAGCAAAGTTGGTAAGAACAGCCAGACTAATCCCTCGTCCTCGAGTGCGAAGTGGGAAGATTTCTGATACCATAAGCCAACTTATTGGCCCAAATGATATCTGCAATGCAAATGCAATTTGACATAAATCTACCACGATATTTTAATCATTACATTGACCTCAAGGACAATGGTAATACTAAATCAGAAAACTTTTTTATTTATTGCAAGGTTCTCCCTTTTCTAGGAACAGAGAGGTCTCCCTTTATTTATTTATACATTAAAAAAAAAAAATACTACTGAAGAGGACTTTCATCCAGGTTGAACATGAAAAAAAAGAAAAAAGAAAAAGCAGCAGGTCATATGGCTGGAAGACAGTTACCTGGTAGCAACCAACATAAAGAAGTAAAGCCGCAACAGCAATAACTGGGAACCCTCCAAAAAATTTATAATAAGCAGAAAGGAGAACTAAAGAAAGGGCCTACAGAAATCAAAGAAAACTCAATAACCATTTGCATTTGACAAGTTGCAGTCAAAGTACTGTAAGAATCCATTAGTTTAAAATGTCATAGAATTCCTACAATGCCACTGACACCTCCAATCAGTAGAGGTCTTCTCCCCAAATCATCAACTTTTAGGACAGCAATCCATGTCATTAGTAACTACAGGTTGATCAATTACAAAAAATTATCATCAGTGTCACAAAGTTGTCGCTCTTCCTAGGAAGGTATAAACTAAGTAGGCATACCTTGAATAAGCCGATAACAACTGAAACTTTAGTAGCATCAGATGCAGCAGAAAATCCAGCACTCTAGATATAGATAACACAATATAATCTACAGTTAGCAAGATGGAAATGAAAAAATTTCATTCACAATAGAGTGGAAATGAATTTAATGATAAGTACCTGAAGAATTGGTCCCGCATAATACAGAACACTTGGTTGACCTGTTATCTATCAGACAAACAACAGAAAGAATTCTCCATATTTCCTTCAATACAAAATGAATAAAGTGGAAGTATATAAACACAATTATGATAATTATGAACAGACTCACTGCAGTGAAGTGAAACTACCTGTTGAAATAAGACTAGCCCCCCACCAATTATGAAGGCTTTCAGATTGGGACCCTGAAACACCTCTAGGAAATTCCCCTCTGATTCCTGATCTGCATAGGCAGACTTCAATGAAACAAGGGTCTCTTCTATTTGCCTCTCAGATTCTTTGTCACCAAGTGGTCGGCCCCTTAATTTGCTGAGAGAAAAAATTGCCTTTTCCTTCAAATCTTGAAAAGAACCTTTTCCTTGTACTGCTCTGAGAAGCAACCACCGTGGAGAGGGGGGGAGAATCCACATTCCAAGCCCCATTACTATAGCAAGGGGAGCACTAAATCCATACATGAACCGCCATCCCCCAACCGTATTAATCTGAAAGCTTCCCACAAAATAACCCGTCTGCATAATAGTTCAGTCCCCAACTCAGTAAATTCTTTAGTTGATAAAAGATACATAAAAGACAATAATGTAATACCAGGATCCCCAGGACAATGAAGAGTTCTTTTAATGATACTAGAGTCCCACGGATTTGTGATGGACAAGTTTCTGCAATATATAAAGGAGCCCCATGCATGGCCTGTAATTCAATTCACTTGTAAGATCGTGCAGGAATCATCTAGATAACAAAAAATGTTATGGATCAAAGTAGCCTACCAAACCTATACCAAGTCCATAAAGCAGCCTTCCTGCTAAGAGGACACCAAGTTCTGGTGCATAAGCAGTAATCCCACCACCAAGCACATACAATAGGGCTGCAGCAATAAGTTGTCGCTTCCTCCCTAGTGTTTTAGCCAATTTAATAGATCAAATACGAAAAATTCTGAAGAAGCTTCAATTCCTGGATAATATATGTAAGCAAAACACTTACCAAGGAAATCAGCAATGTTATATGCAAGTAGTGAGCCAAGAAGAGCCCCATATAGGGATCCACTGACCTATGTTTAATATTAGGAGTTGTTCTAATTAGTACAGATGACAATAGCTTTTTCATAAATTAAATTTTCCAACTATGACGCTGAAATCATACCACAAGTCCAAGCTGAATGGAAGAAAGATTGAACCAAGTTATACCGCTAAGTTCAGGTGACTGTGAATTGAAACCAACAACATCAATATCAACAACAACAGCACCTTACGTAACTTAGAAAAATATATTATATATGTTACAGCACTAACAATAGAGAAAAATGCAATTGAAAGACATTGATTAACAAAATTACCTGCAGTGAAATTGTAGCACCGGAGGTGGCACCAATATCATAACCAAATAACAAGCCACCCAATGCAGGGAACAGAAACCTAAATTTTGAAATAACGTACTAATTAATTGGCACAAGTTAATGTACTAAATAAACTAAACACAACACTCCTCTCCTATTCACTTCCACGCAGCACTGCCTAAGAATGAAGAAAAAGTGACAGAAACGTACGGAATAATCACAGAAGACCAAGAAAATTGCTCTTGGTATGTTGCATCAGAAACAAGCGACTCAGATTCCTCTCCACCAGCAGAATACTCCTTCTGCACTCCAACCTGCCCAGATGATGAAAAGGCCAAATCAGATTAAAAAGCATGAAACTTTGATGAGTTTTCCAGCTTTAAGGTCATCACTTGGAATCTGGGCTTAGGAGCAGAGTAAGAGGCAAGAAGCGGATATGTGACGCATGTGAGAGCTAAGTGATCGTTGATGGAAGAAACGAAGCGCGGATTGATGCGAGAGGAGGAGACTACTAAAGCTTTTGAACTCTCTAACCGTTGATGGTGCAAAAGAGAGAGCCTGAAATTGAAGAGAGTAGTTGATGCCATGAGAGGCAGCAAGAACAAGAGACAGTGTGTATAAATAATCACGAGGAGTGTGGAATCATCGTAGCTTTCTTTGGTTTGGTTTTGTTATCTGTTTGTGAATCCCGTTACAGTAAATGTTCCCATGTGTGATACAAGGAACACAATCAGATTACCCAACTCCAAGATATTTGTCAAATTTTTAACTTTGGAAGTTTGTGTCTCTTCTAAATTGACGAAGTAGCCAGAGACATGTTGAACTGTTTGGTCAATTGTGCTGTGTAATGTAATTTTCTAATTCCTAGGAAGGTAGTTAAATTTGGAAATTGTAATACAAATAGTAGATTTTATTTGCACTTTAAAATTAAATTTTTATATACATATGTTTATCTATAAAAAAATTAAGAAAAAATAAATTACCTGTCACCATCATTATACATTTGCATACAATTGTCACACTCTAAGGGTCTAAGCTAATTTATCATTCAAGTTATTATCATCGAAGACATTCTGTTCCACGTGATCTTCAACTACATCATTCAAAATTATTTTCATCTAAACTTTCATCATGAGATAAAGTTTCTTCATTTTTCACAATCCATTCATCTTTGGATAAAACATCAGCAATGTTATGTTCAACAATTTTTCTAACTTGCTTGACATCATTTCAATAGTTAAAATCAGGATTTAAATCTTAAAATCAGGACTTAGGTAAATGTCTAAATGAGGATTTTATATTGGAAAAGATTTTAAGTGAAATCTAAATCGTTTTAGTAAAAATAAATCGTTAAAATCGGAATTTTAATATTTAAATATAGATTTTAGCTACCATGCCTAGGATAGTACAACCATTTTCATCTTTTAAAAACAATTATGCCAAAGGCTAAATTTCAGCGTGTCTCTATAGTAAAAAAATATATTATAGAGTCATGTATTTAAATTGCTGGAGAAAACGTAAACAATATTACCTAACAAAAAAAAAAATCATTTAAATAGTTATGATTTTTTTTATTATAAACCACATGTATTCTCCACCGAAGACAATCCGATATTGCTTAAGTAGAGTCAAACATGTATCACTTGAACTTACCCTTGATATAAATAGCTATGATGTTGTAATTTAATGTATACATTTTATCAAAAATGAGTCAACTGTAGAAGATGTTGCTTACAAGGAGCAGCCATAACTTTGCAAGTTTATACAACCAAAATTTATCCGTAATGATAAACTAGAGTAATCACAAGCAAGTGAATCAATTAATTAGTTGTTATAATTTAATCATTGATGTCAAATTTGAGTTCTGGATATAATTTTGTCATATTCAAACTAAATTAAACGAATAATTAATGAATCTGTAGAAAATTTTCAAATATATATACATATAAGTTTTAAATATGTTGTTTGAGTATTCCTCCAATTGAATAATAAATCCTAGAAGAAACTAATAACGGTCATTTAAAGGAGAGAAAAAATATTTTAATCAGATTATTAATAAATTAGAGGCATAAGGAAAGTATAAGAAAAAAACAAATTTTAATATAATGTCGTACACTTAAATAATTGAAAAACTAGTTTATGGTGAAAGAACCGTTACACAATAAAAATTATGATGGGAGAAAGTGAGAGTTTTTTTTAATTTAAATATTAAATAAATTATAGTAATTTTTACTGAAATGACAAATATTTTTCGTAAAAATATTTAGAGAATTCATGTGAAAGAAAAAGTGAGAATTTACTTTATTTTTTATGGTCAATGAATATCCATATATCCTGAAGCAAACGATTTTATTGCCATTTGGCATACTAAAGATGAAATACGGGGTCATAACTCATAAGTAAGATTCTAAATAAATTAGATATATCCTATGTACACATATAAAAAAGTAAACTATGTTAGAAAAAAAGTTACATCCTATAAGAAATAAAAACAATCTCTTACCAGATATATGAATGGATAAAAAATAGCAGGTTGCAGCGACAATAATTATAAAAAAAAAAAATTGCTGCGATAATTGTGCAAAAAATGATTGTATAAATAACAATGTCTAAATTTAACCAAAACATAACAGAGTTAAGTAAGCCAACCCTATCACTTGTATTGTATTATTGACCAGATTAGATAACAAGTAGTGTGTTATATACTTTTACGCCAATAACAATAAACAGTGGTTGTAGATGTTTTTGACACACACACACAAAAAAAAGGGTCCAGGACTAGAAGCCAAGACTGTTACTAGAGGGAGACACGCTTTCACATTCTCCTCCTTATTCTCCTGGGAAGAAGAACCTTTGAACAATAATATAATAAACTGAACAAACCAAAAAGCTTTGAATCCGCTAATAAAGGGTTCTGGGACAACTCCTCCTACAAAAGCTATGAACCAACAAAAATTCAAGCTATGTCATCTCTTGTTCTCCACCACTCCTTTTAAATCATCTCAACTTAATTGCAACTGCATTTGTACATGCCTATATGAGATGAGATACCCTACCCAATAAGCTAATAGGAATAGGTATAGCTTCCTGCATTTGCATTTGCATTTTTAAGCAAAGCAAAGTTGTTAATGGAGAACAAAGCCAAGTTGATAAAGGGAGGAACAAACGCCAGAGAAGGAGTTTACCCTACAAGGTTAAAGAAGCATGCCCCAGCTTCTCTTGAGATTGATAAAGTCCTCAGTGGCAGACCCGATAACCCTTTTGCTCCCTCTGTTGAGGCTTCAAATGCAATTCCATTATTATCACCACTTTTCTTGTCCCCACAAACATTGTATTCAGAGACTACTATACATGCTCGAACATCAGAGAATAGTGGCAATAATGGTAGCATTAGCAATGAGGGTAGGAGTTCATCCTCCACACCAATCAACAACGGTTGGAAACATCCAGCTATGGCTCCATGTCCAGAGCCTTCATCTTTGTGTAGTATCTTACAAAAACAATGCGTTCTTGTGAACAATACCCAATGAAATTGACCACATTTTTAGCACTTACAAATATTATATGCCAAAATCGAACTTAAGCCTTTGAAAGTAAACGTTTCCTTGTTTACCAACTGAAAAATTCTTTGTACTCTTAAGATGTATGATATTGTAGTTAGCTGTTAGATATTAATTCTATTTTTAATTAGTAGTGGCCAGTGGAGCTTCTATGCTCTTTTCCCCACCATTTGTTTTTAGTGAATTAATTGCAAATATCTTCAATAAAATAGTTAGGTTTCAATTTCAATTACAGATTCCATTCTCTTCAATTCAAATATTATAAACATCTCCATCAAATGAAATGGTGTCGAAGGATGTTGAGAAATGGTATGGATAACAATCTGAATCTATTACCTGTCTTACGATTATCACCAACTCCGGACGTGGATGAAATTGAAAACAACTATATGTTAAGATTTTATTTATTTATTTAATGGCACTTCCCTTAGTAGAATTTAAATATGAAAGATCCTACATTCTTTTTGAAAGAAAAGGAAACATACTTCAAATTTTATTTAGACCAGGTGTTTTTATTTCTATTCTCTCTTGGGAACATTCTCGGAGAGGATTGTCATTTTTCTACATCCGGAAAGTTCTCCATAAAAAGAAACAAGACTTAATAAATCCTGTTAATTTGACTTCAGCCAACCGAAATTAGGAAAAAAACGGGGGTAAAGAGTAAAACTTGATAGAGTCTAACTGTTATGTCATCTTAGTTTAGAGATAAGTTTTTATGATTTAATTTTGATCCATAATAAACTTTTACACTATAAGTAGAAAGAGTCATATGAACCCAAATAACAATAATACATTAACAATAGTCACGTCATATAAATAATTAAAAAAATTAACTATTTTTAAGCATGTAACACTACAATCACAAATAATGCAAAAACCTTCTATGTAGTTAACTAATAAATTTATAACCTAGAATTATTTTAGTAGTTTACCATTTTTCTAAACTTATACTTATAAAATTTTATTATTTACTCTAATTATTCATTTTAATAATAAATTACTTTATCTTCTCTCCTTCAAAATCATCCGTAGAAATTTATAACCAGCAAACAGCTTTTAGAGATGATGCTGTTACCAAGGACAGCCATCGAATTCAGCATATCTATCAAGGAACGAATACTTGTGCTGACATACTAGCAAATATCAGCTGCTGCTGCATCCAGGTCTGATCGTTCTTAATGAAGCACCAGTATTTTATTTTATATAATGGGAGTTCATATACCCCGCCCAGAAAAGCACATTCAAGAAACGACAACCGCAGCCGTTGTACAAAACATTCTCGAAATTTACATTAATCAACCCTTTTTCTTTCTTTCTCTCTTTCAGAGATCACGGTGGAACTAAGAAAGACGCACTGAACATTATCGTCATTCTTTACGAGGGTTAAATTGCTAACCACTAGAGACATGGCAATGGAAACTGTCTAATACCATAGGCGCAGTTATCAAATGAAATACAAAATGTCCAAGTATACAGAGCTAATAGAATTACATATCCCAGGGGACAAATGGCAAACTTCAGGAAATGCCTCAAGAGTATACGTATCGAGTAAAGGCCAAAATTTGCTCATCCTTTATGTACAACAGGCCAGCATCAATATAACAGTGTCGAAAGTATTAAGGACTTTTCTCTTCCTCTAGCTTCAATTTAATAATCATAATCAGAGAAAGATTACGAAACACTCAATGACACTTCGGAATTATGCTTCACCAAAGCACTGCCACTACATGGCAGACCCATCCCCGAAAAAATCAGAAGTCAAATTCTCCATTCGCCTGCAGAAGAGCATAGTATAAGTCATCACAAGAAGTTGATAAGCTGAACTGAAATTGTAAGTATATATCAGTGTACTCCTTCAAGACTAACAGACCTTATTGAAGAGAATGTCCTTATTATTTATGTGCATGATACCATCCTTTAGTGTGCACTTCCATCTGCTCTTGGTACGTGTCACCTAAATTTGTTGCAAGACATCCATTAGTCTCAGAAAATGATTCTCCAACCATGAATCACTAAAATATGACCATATCACGTTGCTATGGCCTATAGCACTCAACATCTTATTCATAGAAAGTGGAGGAGCGAGGTGTGCAACCTTGTCAAACTGGGCCAAAACAAGATGATGCGTATTTTGATCCTCATCATCATCATCATCCAAATCATCCAAATCATCATCATCGTTTTCGTTTAGCGGGGGCTCATCATCATCATCTTCTTCAATCTCATTTTGAACAATGATAGCAGGGGTACTTGCAGGTACTTCTAATAAATAAGGTGAAACTATGCATCAGAAACATTTGTGATATATACATATATGATGAGCCACATGCATAAGTAACATATCCGTGTTCCTAATTTACCGGGAGGAGCTGGTGTATTTGCAATGTTGTAGTCTTCACTATACACTCCTCCGTAATTGTATATCTGCAAGCAAGGTAAAATAAAAACAATAAGATTGGAATGCATCAATTGGTGAGAAAACTATCAAATGAAGCACTATTGCAATTAAAACTCTTAAAAGAGTAATATATTAGCAAGTGCAGAATTATCGAACTTGAAATTATGCCATGTAATGTTTTTCTTTTGGGGATAAATATCATCCCAACCAATCAATTGGAGTTTTCAGCTAATAAAAATAGGGCTAGGTCAAGACATATCAAATCTATCCCATTGTTAACCATGCAACTAGTTCAGTTTCACATCACATAAGACATTGCAATATCCATCTTGGCTTGAAAAGAAACCACTTAGAGAATTTCAAATACTTATTTAAATTTATTAAATCCCATAAAATGTTGCATCTCTCCTCAGAATTAGAGCTATAATCCTTCTGTTTTATACAATGATGAACCAGGAAAAACAAAACTCATATTTATACAGAATTAAACGGGGACTCATGTGCCAACGAGTTAGCTTAATTGGCATTGGCCCAAGTAAGGAATGGGCGTGATTTGATATCAGAGTTTTAAGCCCCAACCAAGCCACCTTTCCTCCTCCCCTAACCAGGTGCTTGCACCTCCTAATGTAACAACAAAAAAGAAAGGACCCATACAAATGTGAGTACATAAGTCTATGATTTTAACCATGACTTAGTACCAACCAAAAAGATCTACTTCTGAAGAGGCACATCTAAAGGTCCTTTACATTTTTTTTAACAACAAAAGCAACAAGAAAATAACTCTAAAGTTTGAATGAGATGCATCAAATACAAGATCAGTCCCATAATATAAAAAAACCAAGACTAAATGTGCATATATAACTTAAGCATCAACAAAGTGCAAGACAGTCTGCAAAAAAAATTAGGGAGAAATGCACATTTGGGCTTTGGCAAACAAAAGCCTTAATTTTAAATTTTGAGAAATAACCTCCTTTGATTAAAATTTAAAAAATATTAATAGTTTGGAGTTAATTTGTAATTAAGGAAATGACTAATTTTTAGAAAATTTGGATTCTGATTATGAATATTTTGAAATAAGCAAGTAATGGAAACATTGGTACTTTAAAATTTTCAAGAGTGGTTTGAATTCATATTCATTTGATGGCTAACAGGAAAAGAAAAAAGCGACTATTGAAACTTTTTTCAAAATTCAAGGGAATTATTAATGGCCAAAACAAAGCTGAAGGGTTGGATACACTTTTACCCAGAAAATGAAATGAAGAGGGAAAACAGAATATTAGAAACAAAAAGAATGAGTGAACAATGTACAAATGCATATCGGGGTAAAGAACAAATGGCGAAGTCTTTCATTGCAAGCTTGTATTAGAGCAGGAAGGAGGAAAAAAATCACTACTAACATTTGGGGTAGAAAGAACATCATCATCATAAGGATTTGGTCCATCAAGTTGAGGAATCCGAGAAGCTGGCCTCTCCAAATGTGCTGGCATTTTTCCTTCAGAAGTAGAGTAACCTGCATCAATGGAGATGCCCCCTCCATACACCTGAAAGATTTATATTCAACAGTTACTAACTGAATAAACCTTTCAATCAACCTAGCAAGTCAACAAATTAACAAAAGAAAAAATGCATGCATATATGTACTTTAGGACCCCAAAAGAACAGTGAACAATAATGGGCAGAGAAAGAAGTCTATATAACCTATATTGTTTATTATAGCCATCTGAGCATATATACAGCAAGATAGTGATTACAACAGTTGAGAAGTGCCATCAGATATATCATCAATACAAAAGCTATTCTTATAACAGTTGATTAAAAAAAGCAATGGTACTTAAGACAGATCACGTGGTTTATAATAGAAGTTAATCAAAGCTAAGACCAAAAAAAGAAAAAAGACAACAGGACATAAGCCCACATAGTAGATTCAGGACCACTCTCTGTAAGAACATCTACAAGAAACTGATACAGACCAATCAATCAAATACCAGTTTAACAGCTAACAACAGCGAAATACTGATCTGAATATCCATTTGTCCATATAATCAACGTCAATTACATCTAGTGACAATTTAACAGACACAATATAAGAAAAAGGAACAATTACACAGAGCTTGGAAAAGGAAAATAACAAGGCAGAAATGTAAAGATAGGTGTGAGACAATTGGAGAGGCCTCACTCTCTCCCAAGGTTCGAAACTAACAATATTCCCAATATCCCATACCACCCGCCAACCTCTCCTCTTAACCAGCATGCTCGTAACAACCTTGCTTACTCACGCTTGCTATTCTGTTAGAGGTCAGTTTGGACATTGTTAGTGTCATTACTTGGACCATCCTCCACGTCCCTACTTGGGCCACTCACAGCCTTAAAGGCCCAAGTCTTCCTATTCTTATTCCTTTGATAGACTTGCACGGGTGGTGTTGTATCAGAAACCAAATATAGAACAAAAGAAACGAAGTTTCTGGAACTAAGTATTAAGTTCATTAAAAGATTTAGAACCTGAGCAAAATCAATATCTTCTAATTAATAGAATTAATAGTTGTAATATGCAAAGTTAGGGGATTGGGATGAAACCCTAGTATCAAACCAGCTATTTTCCCTTAAATATATATTATTCTTACCAAATACATGCTTTCTTTGGCAAGAGAACATATGACTTGATGATGTCCGGAGAGTTACTAAAGACTCCAACTTTTTATCACTCCAACTTTTTATCTTCCATCTAAACATTTCAACTTTAAATAGGGAATGTTTCAAAATTAAAAATAACACAACCTTCAGGTCAATCTCTAATTTGCCCGTGCATGTCAAAAACAAGAAGAAAAGAATACACAATTGATCTGAACTTTCAGTGTCTAACGCATTAACTCAACAGCAAAAGAAATTCACTGTTAAAAATTTGGCTCAAATTAATATTAAATTCATACTGGTGACCCCCAAAATTTGAGCGACAGTTTTCTTCCATTTTGGTGAAGCAATAGAATTTTTTATTTTTTATTTTTGGAGATATTTCAATCGATTCATCGCTTCGCGACTAGTCCGATTCAGGACGGGTCCTGGGATTAAGGCTTTAAACCCCTCCCAAAGACGGTATTAGGGAGGATCGAACACATGCCCTCACCCCCACCTGCTCAGATCCCTGGCGCCAACTGAGCTACCATCATTTGGTGAAGCGGGAGAATCTTGATGTAGTTGTTAAACAAATCATTATCCATTTGGGGTCATGGTAAATTGCCACCGTGTTAGAACTTCATAGATTTCTGCATTACCTATGTCCATTCTTTAAAATTGCCTGATGTATTAGTAGAGATGGCAAGACTTGTTTTCACCATCTCAATCTGCCATCCTCCATGCGGGGATCAACTCCCAAGCAAGGTTGTCAAAATCAAGATCCTACTTAGGATCGAAAAGGGAAGAAAAGATAGTAATTCGTAGGATCAACATGGATCGTAAGATCCTACCTAAAAATAAAATTATACTCAAACACACACATAATATATATATATATATGACAGGATCCTTTAACACCAAATCCTAACCATTGATTTTCGTCAATCTAACGGTTATAATTTATTGGACATTACTAATTAATTAATAAGTGTTACCCAATAAATTATAACTGTCAGATTGGCAAAAATCACGGTTAACATTTGGTGTCAAAATTATTAATTTGACACCAGTGTCAAAGGATCCTGCTCCATAACAATAGTTTAAATTTAATTAAAAACTTTAAATATAATAATACATGTTTCCCTCACATTTATATATTTATTGGTGTTTCTGTGTTACAATTTATTTAAAATGATATTTTATTTAACCTTATTTTTTATCTTAAGTATTTGTTTTTTTTAATATATATAAGTACACCTTGCTACAAGGAAAAAACAAGTAACTTAATATATTATTACTCAAAAAACTCGAGTAATAATAGTACACTTTTTCAAAAAAAAAAAAAAGATAAGCAAAGAGAAAAGCACACTTTTCTCGGAAAAAAATCCAACAGCTCACACTTGCCCCATCAAAGTCTACACTTTTTCCAAAATAAAAAAATCCAACAACTCCATCTTATCCCTCGTCCAGATCATCTCCTGTCACACACCACTGTCTTTCCCCATCCTCTTCTTCGTCCTTTCTCTTCTTATGAATAAACAATAGCATGCTGCGTATCTTGCTCAGCAGCCAAACATGTGACCTCAGTTTGATTTTGCAGTCATCCCTACTTTTCGGTTCTGTGGTAGTCACATCCTTCACCGTCCATGAGAATGAAGCAGGTTAGGTTTATAACGGGTTAGAGTCATGAAGTAAACAAGCCTTTTCGCAAATCGTTCACGATTTTACAACCGAGTTGCATCTTTTATGGTGGAAAACATGTAGGATCATGTGATCCTCCGAGTTAGTGTGCGATTTTGACAACCTTGCTCCCAACCCAACCACTTCCCATGTTTTGCATACAATAACCAATCCTATGTGTCTTATGGCTCTTTGACAGCATTTAGCCAGTGTGAGAACCTTAAAAGTCAAGCCTATTTTGTAACAGAGAATCTGTGTAATTCAAACTTGTCAGCAAACATCCTATCATCCTATTTAGAAATATTGCCATGCTGCCCATGCAAGTTTAAGCAACACCTCTCACCTATATTGCACTGACACCGACGCGGGACACGACATGACACTCCGACATGTTAATTCTAAAAAATGTTAGATATCGACACGTTAGAACACGTTTTGATATTAAATAATAATTTTAATTCATATAGTGTATATTATATTTAATATTCAATAATTTAATAGAAAAAATGAAGCTAAACTTATAATACTCATCAATTTTGCAAAGAAACATAAGATATCCAAAATATTTATATTAAACTCAATAAAATGATAATCGTAATCCAACGAATCTAATAGTTGGAATTAAAAACACAACGCAACCTTCGAACCTTTTTTGAGTCTCTGCAACTCATGTTGGGGTGTCTAGGAGTGTCAGAGAGTCGGGGAGTGTCGGACAAGACACGTCAGGATTTTTGAAGTATTGATGCATCATAGCCTCTTACTACCCTAGGAGAAGCCAGGCATTTTTTCCTTCATAGGCATAGATGTAAACATGGTCCTATTTAGAAATATTGACATGCTGCCCATGCAAGTGTAAGCAATAACCTCTTACTACCCTAGAAGAAGGCAAGCATTTTTTCCTCCATAGACATAGATGTAAAAATGGTATTTAAGGTAAAAAGGTATCCAACAGAAGAGAGTCAAGATAAATGTTATGAAACCGGGATCTTACTATAGTACCCCTTCAGTCATACACCACAAGCTCATTTACAAAAAAATAAAATAATAATAATAAATAAATAAGCGACAATAAAGATAAAAATATCGGATAATGAACACCGTTACAAAACTACTCCAAAAAATATGCAAGCACCAAACTGAAATAAACCTACTAATATCAATTTGATAATGGCAATATGAAGAAAGACCATACTTCAATTTCAAAAATTTGAGATGCAGCATCTCCAGCTCCATCCTGCTGAGGTATATATCCACCAGAATTATATTGTGAAGCAAATCCATCACGTTTTCGCTTCCCCGAGGACATTGTGAAGAAGTCCTGGATGTTTATATCAATAACATGTGAATGTTATGTTTGATACTATGTTATCACTTTTCAAATCAGAGTGGACATTCAAGACAAGAATACGTAAGAAAGGAACAACATTCTCTGACTTCATAAAAGAAACTCTACCATGAGGTCTCTTCAGTCTTCACAATTGAACACAGACAATTTTCTAAAAGACCTCACCTAGTTGCTTACCTGAGTCAGAGGTTGATTTGAAGTTCCTCTGTCCGCCTCATCCCGCCCTTCCTCATAAGCTTAAGTAATACACACAGTCATTACTGCAAAGCCATTTTATTTAACACTGTTCTAAATTCAAATGGGACTTACCAACATTGACGTCAAGCGAAGGCCTCTGGTTCATCCATGGAGAAGGTTGCTGTACAAGATTGTACGGTCAAGGTCAATACCCACATCTAAAAAAAAAAATTCGGGGGGGGGGGGGGGGGGGGGTGGGTTACCATGCATATGGTTTTAGCAGAAGAGTTTATCCACTACATCAGACAGCTATTTGATAGTGACAAAATGAACTTTACCATGTATGGACCAGGTCTTCCACCTTTTATCTCAGTATTTCCCCCAGAATCATTTCCAGACGATGGGTAGTCACTAGGTCCAGTAGGAATGTTATACATTGAGCTATCCACAGTCCCAGGCAAAGGGGTTTGGATGGGAGTTTGCGCCGGAGTCTATACATTCAAAAGCCCAAATCAACACTCCAACTCATACGAGACACAATAGAAGGGAGACGTAACCTATGAATTTATAATTATGGGCTAAAACTCACAGGAGGGAAAAGTATTTCGGCTGTGGGAGTTTCGTACTCCTCAGTCCCCTCATAAGGCACGTTAAGATCATGAACCGGAGTAATTGGACCACCGAGCGTTGGCTTAGATATAACTGACCTTTCTATGGGACCAACAATAACACCAGCTTGGACCATCTTTGATTCCCACATCTAAACAAATTATCAACCAAAATAGTAAGCGCGTGAATGCTCAGATCGAAGCCCTAAATCGAAAAAGGAAACTTTCTAGCAAACCAAATCAAAGCATATTCCAAATTTAACTATAAAATTCTTAATACATATATTTGGAACCAAAAACTACCGACATGCGGGAATAAAATCAAATAAATCTGAAACAATAAAATAGAAGAGAAATTATTACAGATTGAAGCTCCTTGAGAACTTCCTCGTCGGGACCACTGTTGTTGAGGAACTCATCCCGAACCTTGTTCATGACATCTTCGATTACTTTAATATAGACCTGGCTGGTGGTGGAAGCCGCCATGATGGAATTTTTTTTTTCCTCCCAAACTCTGCTGCGTATCGCCAATTATCGGATTGGAAATGTTTGAGGAGAAAAGAAATAGAGAAAGTGTTCAGTGAAAAAGATCGAAAGGGAAAGTGAAGTGCAGAGAGCGAGGTGTGGTTTTGTTTAGGGTTTTGGAGTGATCACTGAGGGAAAACGGCGTACAGAGAGATATTGAAGATGTGATGAAATGGGAAGGAGCGGACAAGAAGCACACAGGATAAAGGGTGGAATATAAATAGGTTTGCATCCGATTATAAGCACGCGTGCCACGTGTCCCGATCTCCTTCATCTTTATCTTTGCTGTCCAATTCGCTTACACCAAATACGCCCCTTACAATACTACCCCCACCGTTCCTCTTTCTTGAATCTTGATTTAATTTAGTATCATAATCTCTATATTAAATTTCTAAGTTTTTTTTTTTAATTTTATTATTTATTCACATGTATCTTTTAATTTTGATTATTTCTTTGTTTTACAACTTGAACCGTAACTATGATTTGTAATTAGCTTCAGCACATGTGCTTTATATAAAGGAATACTATAAGGTTAATTCTAATTCTAATTATAATTAAAATTGTATAGATGTCTTTTCATATTTTATAGAATTTCAAAAAAAAATTGAGTGTTAAAAATATATATATATTTGTAAAAAAATTACATTTTAATTCGTGGATATATTTGAATGAATTCGAAATTTAAAAATAGGAATAGTTAATTTACTATTACTATGGGAGATGGACGTATTTTATCACATAAATAAAATTAAATCATGTATTGATTTATTTGAATCAGGGAATATTAATCATGTATCACATAAATCCGGGAATATGTATTTGGAGAAAAAAAAATGATATACAAATGCTGAAGAATTTTATTAAAAAATCAGTTCGGTTATGAAATTTTTGGGATTGTTACATATGCCTAATCAACAAATTTACCTTTAAAATGAAGAAAAATGAGTCAAGAACTTGCTGATAAAGATATTAAAGACTGCTGCCTTCCAATTTCACAGCAAAAACTAATACTACATTTTCTTGATTCTCTTCCAACATAATGCTGCTTTGTTCTTATTCACAATGGGTGCTCTAAGTGTACACGAGAATCCTAATTTTTTTTCCTTATTGGGATAAGTTTTAGGCTTCTAACAAAAAGACTAGCATCATAGGGAACAAATTTGAGCTATTATAGGGGTGAACTCAATTCGGTACTACTCTTTTTTAAATTAAATTTTTTTTATTCCATTTAAACTAAAATCTTCATTTTTATTTTTCAGTTTCAATTTTTCACCCATTTTAGAAATGATATATGTATTGCAGAAGTACCCAAAATTTATTCCATCATAGGGCAATTATTACGGAGATTTGCTAGTTAATCATGCTCTCACATCAGACCAAAAATTGTACTATATTTGTTAATCTTCCCGCAGGACTTAATCTTCTTTACCTTGCGGATCTTTCAAATGTATTTCGTATTTGTTATAACAGTTATTTTTAGTTTTCTTTCTATTGTTCTGGGCTATTGCCCTAACAACCAACAAAGAGAAAGAAAGTCTAGGAACACTTGACTATTGATCTCTTGCAGCATATTCTGAAAGAAGATCCCCTCTCCCTTGACCACGGTGTTTGTTAAATAAATTAAATTTTATGGGATCTATTCTATCTCTATGTATATTCTTCTCGTGGACCAAGTTTTTATTGCCAAATATCAAGTGATACAAGGGAACTAACATTTCATAAATAACAAGCAAGTCTTTTATATTTCACAGAATTATTGTGTACCTTTTTTTTTTCCCAAGTGGCTCTCCTAGCACCATCTCGTTCGGTTCCAGAGAAATTCTAAATTTCGGATTAAGGGAAATAAAGTTTGGTCGAAGATAAATTTTTTTGAATACTAGAGAAATATGATTGATAGAAAAATGGTTGAAAAGTGAGTTTGATAGGAAAATGTAAAAAAAATTATTTGGTTAGAAAAAAATTTATCAGAAAAATTGAGTTAAAAGAAATAAAATTGTCATCATTTTTATCACTTTTTTCTCACTTGCTCAGCTATATATGCAATATCATGTTCAAGTTGGTAAACTTTCATGGTGCATTTTTGCATTTGATTCTCAATTGTTATGCAAAAGAAATTGGTAGGCAAATTTTTAAAAACTATCAACCAAACAAAAATAACATCAATTCCCAATTTCAAATAGATAGGCATCTTCACCAAAAACTTCAACCAAACACTAGCTAATATTTCCATCGAAACAAAGGGAAAACAAAAGGTAAGCGGGAAACCAAAAAAAAATGATACACTGAGGGCAACATTGTAATTTACTAATGCGAGGGATGATTTTGTAATCGTCTCTGCAAATGGGGCATGCTTCAAGGAGTTTCTGAACCCAACCATAGCTCCGTGGGGAAGCATAGCTAAGCTAGTCAGCGCTCTACCTCTTGAACTTGGCTCCACACCACAGCGTTTGGAATCAGAACCTTCCATCTCTATAGACCGAGCCAAAGTGTTGTTTCGGAATTCAACATTCTCCGTGCGTAGATTCTAAGCCACACATTCTTCTCTCTCCGTTCGGAAACGATTGGCATCAGAAGATGACGGGCGGTTTCTTTCGGGTTAGTATCGCGCCACCTTTGAACTTGCAATTACTCTTTTGACTGTTGTATTGAATCGTAGCTGAGTTATCTGAACATTCCTCAGATCTTCTCTGTTATAGTTTTTATTTATTTGTTGTCACGTTCTTTTATTCTTTGTATTCTTGATTGCAGCATGTTACTTAGCTTATGAACTGTACATGCTGAATTTTGTAATGTAGGGTACATCTGCGGATCAAGACACTCGATTTTCGAACAAGCAAGCGAAGCTGCTGAAATCGCAGAATTTTGCGCCTCAATTGGAGCATCTGGTTCGTTTTCTTGTGCTTTTGCTATCTGGAACTACAAGGATTATAGTGTATATAAACTTTGATAAATTTAATTTGTAGTAGTCACTGCCTTTCTTTCTGCCTCTGCTTGTTTCAAATTTTGGTATGCTTGAAAACTGGTTTGTAGGTGCACATGACGAAGGTGAACATGGAAGTAATAAGGCCTTGGATCACCAGAAGGGTTACCGAGCTCCTTGGGTTCGAAGACGAAGTGCTTATTAACTTCATACACAGTCTTCTGGATGCGAAGGTGATTTTCTATTTTGATGTTTATTTTGGTTGTAATGTCATCTTGGAGATTAAACTTTCTATTTGCTATTACGGAATCCTGATATTATTTTCATCTTTTTTATTTTAATTTTTTATGTTTATTTGTTGAGATCTGTATTACATTTATTTACCTAACATCGATTTGCTTTTAGGTTGTGATTGTGCATGGGCGACTCTGGATAAAATTTTATGAAATAAAAAAAGTATTTGTTTTCTTAAAGGAAAAACAAACAAACAGGCCATTATTCCTCCTTGGCTTTATCACCAACTTTTTTATAATGCTGTGCTTTATTTATTTATTTCTGTTTTGGCCACATTTTATTCTTTATGATGCAAGAAGTGAACGGGAAGGAAGTTCAAATACAAATTACTGGATTTATGGGGGAAAAACACTTGAAAGTTCATGAAAGAAATTTGGACTCATCTTCTTAGCGCTCAGAAAAATGCCAGTGGTGTTCCTCAGCAGTTCTTGGATGTTTATTTTGTTCCTTACCCCCTTTAGTCTTCATTAATGAGTCTATGTTGTTTAGTAGGAAGCACAGGTCGAGGAGTATATCCTGGTCTCTAGAAGCTCAAGGATGCTCCCATTCTCCACAACGACAATCAATTTCATCTTTGAGGCCTTCACCATGGCGATCTCGTCATAGGAGGCTATCTTATTCAAGGTGGAGGAGATCCAGATCCCGCTCAAATTACAAATCTCCTTCTCCTGTGCGACATAGAATGCATTCTCGTAGTTCGCCTTCTTTTCGACGACGCAAAACACCTTCTCCTATTAAAAGACGTAGATTGCCTTCTCCAGTACGGCGACATAGATCTCCTTCTCCAGTGTGCCGACATAGGTCACCTTCACCCATTAGATGGCGAAGGTCACCCTCGCCTGTGCGACGAAGATCTCCAATCATGCGGCACAGGTCACCTTCACCCGGGCGTCGAATACCACGGCGATATGTACGGCCTAGATCAAGCTCTCCTATGAAATCCCCCTCTCCCGTACGTCGAAGGCATGGGAATAGAACTCTACAATGCAGGTTTCAATCTCCTTTGCAATGTAGATCACCTGCTTTTGGTAAGAGAAGATCTCCAAGTCTCTCCTCACGGAGTTCTCCTCCTTCAGATGATTGGAGTTCTCAGTCTCCGATACGGCGTCCTGTATCTCCATCTCCAATTAGGAGAAATTTTCCAAGTCGCCGAAGAAGTCCTGTGCAATCTTCAAGGGGAAGAATCAGGTATAGTGATTCTCAAGGAAATGCTTGGATAACGTTTTTCTAGTCTCCGGTGTGCATGATTTTAATGTGATGATAGGAAAGATTTTTAAAAGAAAGATATCAAATATAGGATTATTTATTCAATTTTTAAGTAGTTTTAGAGTTTAAAATCAGAAATATTATGCTGGCTCTATTCCAAGTCCTGAATGCAACTGCAAAATTTTGCAGAATGATAGTTTTATCTAGGTTCTTTCTTGCAAGGAAATTTATAAATTCTGTGGGGATACCCATGTTGCAGAACTCAAGAAAGATTGTCATCTTAGACTCATCTACCATCTAGTCCTTTGCTGTCGGCACAGAGAGATAAGGATGTTAAAGCTTCACGCTATAAATCGCAAGATTCAATGTCCACATCTGAGAAATCTCCAATTCTATCAATATCTCCACTAGCAAGGAGCAGGACCAGCAGTGAAGATAGAATGTAGTTACTCTTGATTTCTCATACAATGCTCTTCTTGTATTCTCATCGTTGCTCTGAATTAGCATGTTTATACATAATTATTTGGTTCATGAAAATGTTTAGTTCACAAGAGAGTTTTGTGAGGCAAAGAAGAGAGAAGTTGTCCAATGAAAGAAACTTGAGTCCTCCAAAGAAAGCAAGAACCCAGCAACCTACTCATGACAGCCCAGAGACAAGTAAAGGGGCGGAAGAAACATATTATTCTAGGTTTAAATATGAATTGGATAACTTTCATTTACTTGATTTTATTTATGGGAAAAGTGTGTGTCATT